CCAAACACTGCTTTACAAAATAACTGTAAACACTGCTTTACAAAATAACTGTAACTTTGCTTAGGATCAGAACCAAATCGGGACAAGATAGTGACATTTTTGAAATCAGAGATCACTCTGCCTTCTTGACACTGAAGACAGGGCTTATGGCCCATTCCAAGCCTGGCAACCCCTAGGCTGCATTCCATGGTTCCATACCAGTCGTACCACTCCCAGTGGTCTCTGTTCCGTTTCCCACCCAAGACAACTTAAAATCCCACTTAGTCTCTTCCAGGGCACACTTCTACCCCAACCTCACTGGAATGTAGTAGGGTCCAGTCCTCCTGGGAGCAAACCCCAACAAACTTCTATTTCTTTACATTACTTCTCTCTGTTCCTCTGTCAGCACTGAGTGAGGTCTCAGACTATCAATAATATGCTTGGAAATTTCACAAGGTTGAAAAGTAAAAGGAAAGTTGCTCATCTTCTTTTTTCTCTTTGACCACCCATGTGAAAATTCAGTCCCAAAATCACTATTCGTTTTCCCACACTCTTTTTTGAACCATATTACATGGATTATATGGATTGAATTTTCCTATCACATTTTGATGTCGGTGGGCCCCAAAGGTGACTTATATGAAGCAGGGAGGAGAAAGACGGTCACTTTCTCCCCATCTGCCTCTGCCACCCGGAACCCAAGATTACTGGGTTCTTGTCTCGCCTCGCAGAAAGGAATTTCAGGAGTAGAAGAGTAGTGAAATTACACAGTTTTCATTTGGAAGTTTTGAAGGGAAGGAGGAAGATAAAGTGGGAGAGAGTGGAGAATAACCTACTCAAAAGGGAGCCCGAGCTTCTCCAAGGGCGGAGAGAGAGCCCCTACACACATCCCAGCATTAGACATGAAAACATGAAAGTACACATCTCAAGAGGGGAGATGCGGGTGACACATGTGCTCAGGCAGCATATGCATATGCATATCTAAAGCATATGCATATGCATATCTCAAGAGGGAAGATGCGGGCGACAGGACACATGTGCTCAGGCAGCATATTTGTTCAAGGTGGCCTTCATAGGGTTTCTTCCAACCTGCCCCCATGTGGGACTTCTACCTAGGTAAAAGTTCGTTGCTGGGGAGGTTACCTAGGGGGTTGATAGTGGTGATGGTCTTCTTTGAAATTCCTTTCCTGACTTCTGTTTCTGCAGGAGCTTCTGTTGGAGGGGGTTGGTCAGGTGTCAAAGGAACAGCTTTGGAGTTTCTGGTTAATCTCTCTCTGGTCCTTAACTGTTCACTGTTTCTTACACTGTCATCCCTGTAGATGTCCAGCCTCCACAGGGTCTGTCACAGACTGGTGGACTAATGCCGGTTAGTTCTCCATTAGTTCAGGGCTATTGCTATCCAGGAGATTTGCTGCCATTGCCTTGGGAAGGGGCCTACCTTATCTGCCTACCTACATCAGTTTCATATTCATTTATTCTTCATTGCTTGCCTTCCCCATGACAACATAAGCTCCATGAGAGCAAGTCATGGCTTCCTGCTCACCAATGGGCCCCAATTACCTGAAGAGTCTAATGGGGGTTCAGTGGAAACTATATAAATATAAGTGGAACAAAATGTAATATGAGGGAGAATTTTCACCAGTTGAGCAAGTTGACAGAGTTTAGAACTAAAAAAAGAGTTCAGGTGAATTTAACACTCTTTAGAAAATATCTGGGGAGTATGAGGCAGACAGGTAGAGAAGAAAGGGCCCCCATGGCAATGGAATTCCTGGGACATAACCAATTAGTCTTAAAGTTGTCAGGAACCACTTTGTGGACATAGGAACTAAGGTCTGATAAGACCTTTATCTGGCACCAGCAGCTGACCCCCAGGAGGCTGGACTCCTCCTTCCTACAGAAAGGATAAAACTTCAGCAGAGACTTGGACTGTGATTAGGACATTTTCCCCAAATTTCCGCCAAAGCTAGAAATTTCTTCTTTTATGATAGCATCTGACCAGCCTCATGTGCCTGCACGTTCAGAAAACTCCAGGCTAAGTCAACCTAAAGAAAATCCGTTATTCATATTGTAGGATAACATTGGTTTATCCTTTCTCTTCAACCTTAAGGAACTTAGGTTTACTGAGTAACACCCATCACAATGCTCCTGAACACTCCCATTTCTTCAGTATTCATCTTTAACTTCTCCTTTGTGCTCTGCTTCCCATACCTGTTAATCACTTATTTTCTCTAACCAGAACATGTAACTTTTAAAGTCAAATTCTTCAGAGATCCCTGGATTTGTATTTGTAAGTGAAATATGGGTTTCCTCCTTCCTTTATGTGCTTTGCAATTTACTTTAAAGAAATGTCCATTTTGTATATATAGGAAGACAACTTGGGAGTTGCTTTTATAACTTGGAAGTTAATTGACACTGGATAATAATTGGGTGTCTGTCATATTTATTTGACTTAAGCCTCAGTTGCCCTTAGTTCCTAGCAAGGTCCCTAAGAAGGGTCCCTAAGAAGATGCTAGATGGATCCAGGGCAAGCTGTAAGCCACCCTTACATCAATACGGGACAGGCCAAGTGCCATAAAAATTATAATTAAGTTTAAGAGCATGGTCGTGTTCATGGACAAATTCTGTCATGAAATGAAGTGACTGTACAAGGACCCTACTAGGGTTAGGAAGGAATAATCTGGCCTGAGGACTGTGGTTTGGGATCTATAGCGAGATATTCCCAGGAGAGTCACCCTTTAAACTTTAAACTTAATATATCTCTTACTGTGTCCATTGGGCTAGAGCGATAGCACAGCAGTAGGGCGTTTGCCTTGCACGCAGCCAACATGGCCGACCAGAGTTCGATTCCTCCGCCCCTCTCGGAGAGCCCGGCAAGCTACTGAGAGTATCTCGCCCGCATGGCAGAGCCTGGCAAGCTCCCCGTGACATATTCGATATGCCAAACACAGTAACAACAAAGCCTCCAATGGAGACGTTACTGGGCCCGCTCGAGCAAATCGATGATCAACAGGAGGGCCTTTACCTTTTTACCTTTACTGTGTCCATACAGAATGACTAGAAACATTATTAAGAAGTAAATCTAAGATGACTATGGGCTCCTAGCAGGATGAGATCTTTACCTTAGTAGAGCTTCCCTAGAAGAGGGCTTTCATATGTTGATTGTGCTATCTCACCTAGGTGTAGTGGCTATCCCCAACCTTGGTTGTTGGGCTCTTGACTAAGGCAGAAAGATGGGATGTGGGGAGACCAGCATAGGGAAAGGAGGAGGAAGAATATAGGCAGTGAGTGAGACTGGAAGGAGGCAGAGGAAGACTAGATTGAAATAAATGGCTATTGATCACCAACCAGCCTGGACCCTGTTTCCTCCTTCTTTCTTCCATTCTGTCACCCATCCGGGGTGGAAATGCAGCATGGACACTGAATGGCAAGAGAGCCCACACACACTTTTTTTGAACGCACACATATAAAAGTCAGTCTTAAAGGCTATGCAGAGCTGGCTCCACCTCTGGAGAAGTTCATGTTCTCTCCTGAGCACACTATTCTCTTTGTCTCCCTCCTCCTTCCTCAAACACCTCCAAATAAAAAAATCTGTTTTTACTTCTCTGCTCATCTATTCCTAAAATTCTTTTCTGTGAGAATGCAAAGAAACCCAGGGTAAGGCCTAGGACTGGCTTTCCTTTCCTGCAAAGAGCAATTCTTCGCTTCAGCCTGAGTCCAGGGCCTCCCTGAGAAATCAGGTGGTGGGGATTAACTCCTGTGCTGTGCAGAACAAGTGGATGTCAGGTGTGGCTTGATGGCTTCTTAGTGGGGCTTGGTCTTGAGGTCCATTCTATGCAGGGGCTCATTGCAGACTTTATTAGTCCTAGCCTTCCCAGCCAGTCCCAGGATAGCAGAAATGGATCAGGAGAAAGTGGCCATCATAAATCACTTGAAGTCCACTGACATCATTTGGGATGGAAGGTTATAATAAGAACAACCAGAAAGGTGGTTAAAAGAAATGGGGCCAGGGGCTGGAGTACAGTGGGGAGGGCGTTTGCCTTGCCAGTTGACCCGGGTTTGATTCCCAGCATCCCATTTGGTTCCCGAGCACCACCAGGAGTGATTCCTGAGTACAGAGCCAGGAGTAACCCCTGTGCATCTGTGGTATGACCCAAAAAGGATAAAAAAAGGAGAGAGAGGAGAGAGAGAGATGGGGCTAGAAAGATAGTGCAGGGCTTAATGTGCTTGACTTGCACACTAAGTCTTTGCATGCTTTCATGAACCCTGGTACAATCCCCTGCAGCATTATCAGTCACTGAATACTCCTAGGAGTGATTCCTGAGCACAGAGCCAGGAGTAAGCTCTTAGTATCTTTGGATCATGATCATGACCATCCTGTTATTCGTCGATTGCCTCGAGCAGGCCCCAGTAACGTCTCCTTCATTCTAGCCCTGAGATTTTTAAAAAAAGTGCCATATTCAAGACTCTTTCAGAGTTAGGAGAATGAGACCCATCATTGTTACTGGTATTTGGCATATTGGGTACACCACGGGGAGTTTGCCAGACTCTGCCGTGTGGGCAGGTTACATTCAGTAGCCTGCCAGTTTGTCCAAAGTAGCAATGAGATAATAAGATGTCGCACGGCTGTGAATGTGGCTGCGCGCTTCCAGGAGCTGGATTTTATAGTCTCTATCTTTGGATATGATATAAAAATAAGAAAGAAAGAAAGAAAGATAGAAAGAAAGAGGGGTGAGGTAGAGAGGGAGGAAGGAAGGAAGGAAGGAAGGAAAGAAAAGAGGAAGGAACGGAGGGAGAGAAAGAAGGAGGGCTCGATGGGGGAAGGAAAGAAGGAAAAAAGAGAGGGAGGGAGAGAGAAAGAAAAAAAAAGAGAATGGGAAGGGAGAGGAAACAAACAAGATGTCTGAGGCTGGTCTATTACAAGGATGACCCCAAAACATTTTGGAAGTCTAGAGGAAACTAGCAGAAAGCAAAATTAAAACAGGGAAGTTATAAGGCTCTTTTAATTGAGTGCCATGTTGGATTCACATACACTAAGAAATTTATTACACTCAATAATCTTTAGTTTGAGTTTGGTCCTGTTGGCATTTGGTGGTGTTGGCTATGAAAATCAGAAGAATGGCTAGTGACCCTCATTTTGGTCATGATTAAGACAAAGATAAAGGAACAAGATATGAACATGAACTCTACAAGAATAAGCGGAGGTGATCATGATTAAGGGAACATAGAATCTGCGGGCTGTTGTAGGTATCTAGGATAGACATTGCTTTCCTCCTGCATAGAGACAACACAGAGCTTCCTATTTTCAGTGACCCTCTCAGATTGGTGGTTCCACGAAAGTAGAAATAGTGCCTTCTCTTGGGGCTGTGAGACGATGCAGGGAGAGATGGGTGGGTGCTCTGCTACAGGGAAACTGAAATTTGTTCTCCACTGCTTCCCACAGCTCCCAGGAGAGGGTGCTTAGCGGGCCAGGAGGCAGAGCTCATAGGTGGGAGGTATGTTGCCAAAGCCTGAGAGCTTTGGTGTGATATTAATTTCAGCAGGTGGCACCAGAGAGCGCAGGGAGAAGTTCTGAAGGATGGAGGTGAAGTAGATAAAGAGTTCCATTCTGGCCATGGCCTCCCCAAGGCAGACACGCTTTCCTGTGACACAAGGGGAGAACAGGTCACATTTGCATTGGAATATGGATGCACAGGGGTGGTCTCAACCACCCACCGAGCTTCCTCTATCCCATCAGCATCTCTGAGGTCAGGATTTCTCTACTTATAGAGTTATTGTAAAATCTCAAAGGGTTGCTATATACAGTGCTCAGCTAAGACATGCCATTTAGTCACCAGGCAGGTTCCTGCTCAATGTCTTGGGCATCAGATTCCAAGATGAAACGGTCCTAAAGATTCTCAGATTTGAGGTTTTTCCCCTCCACTTCAGTTTCCGAAAGACTGATCTGACAGAGATGCTTACAGTTAGATGCATCAGTTCCTGTTCCAATGGTTTTGAGAGATTACTCTGCATTTTATAGGCAGGGAGCCGAAGTAACTCATCCCTCAGCACTCCACTTGGAAATGGTAGGATTGTGCCTATTTTCCTAGCCACTGCACTGACCAAAGGTTCAAATGGTTTGTGCCTAAAATGTTATTGTTACAGAGGCCTGGGATGTGGCTCGGCAGTAGAGCACTTGCCTGGCACATGTGAGACTCTATATTTGGTTATCAGCACCACTAAACAAATAAACAAATAAATCATTGCTCGAGGACATTATGTCATTGATCAAGCTTCTCTGATAGGACAAATCCATGGTGTTTTTTATTTTTCTACCTGAAAACTAAGAATTCTTTATTTTACTTTTTTTTTCCGGGGGGGGGGTGGAGCACTGCTGGTGGTGCTCAGGGATTACTATTATTCCTGGTTATGCAGAGATCACTCCTCTTGTGGTTTGGAGGGCCACATGAGAGTGCTGGGGATTAAACCTTGGTCAGCCGCATGGAGGCAAGCACCTACCTGCTGTATTGTTTGTTCCAGTCCTTGTTTTCTATATCTTTAGTTTAAAAGCTTAAAAAAAATATTGTGGTAGTGGATAGCACAGCAGGTAGGGCGTTTGCCTTGCACACGGCCAACCTGGGTTCTATTCCTCTGTCCCTCTCCGAGAGCCCGGCAAGCTACCGAGAGTATCCCCCCACATGGAAGAGCCTAGCAAGCTCCCCATGGCGTATTTGATATGCCAAAAATGGTAACAACAAATCTCATAATGGAGAGGTTACTGGTGTCCACTCGAACAAATCAGTGAACAATGGGAGGGCAGTGCTACAGTGCTACAGCTACATAAAAATTAAGTGAGGGGGTTGGGAATTGTGGGGTGATAGGAGGGAACCTGGGGACACTGGTGCTGGGAAATATACACTCTTGGAGGGATGGGTGTTGAAATACTGTATGACTGAAATCCAATCATGAATGGCTTTGTAATGCTCTAAAAAATGAATTAAAAAATGAGAAAAAAAATTAAATGAGGGGGTTGGGAGATAGAACAACAGATGAGATGCTTGCCTTGCACAGAGTCAACCCAGATTCAACCCCTGACACCACACATTGTTTCCTAAGCCCCGTCAGGAGTTATCACTGAGCATAGCTGGGAATGGCCCCCAGACAAAACTACACACAATTCACAATGACAATCATTCTGTTGTTTGTTTATTGCTTCGAGCAGGCACCAGTAACGTCTCCTTTGCCCTAGCCCCCCTGAGATTTTAAAAAGTGCCATATTGAAGTCTCTTTCAGGGTTAGGAGTATAAGACCCATCATTGTTACTGGTATTTGGCATATTGGGTACACCACGGGGAGTTTGCCAGACTCTGCTGTCTGGGCAGGTTACATGTGGTAGCCTGCAGGGTTGTCCAAAGTAAGAATGAGATAATGAGATGTTGTGTGGCCTCATTTGTGGCTGCGCTCTTCTGAGAGCTGGGTTTTATAGTCTCTGGGTCTTGGCCGTTGATGGGATTAATTGTGTACACACAATTAATGATTATAATTTCAGTGTCCTTAAATAAGCACCAGAATAGGAATCATTTATTTATGTATAACCTATAGTTCCTTTTGTACATGAGTGGTGGTAAGAGTTCTGATTGCAATGTCCACACAGAGGCACCATGGACAGCAAAATCTAAAGTGGTTTCTATCTGGTTCTCACTAGACATCTTCTCTGACCCTTGCTGAATGATATTACCTTCTTATTATGGCTGTCATGGCTCTATGACTCCCAGATTTTGGGATTCTAGGGTTTCATGATCAAATGAAATTAGGATTTTTCTTCCCCTTCAGACCCCAACAATGGTTGGGGACACATCTAGAATGTTCCAAGAGAGAATCTTACCACAGTAACCTACCAGAGGCAAAGGGTACAAAGGCTTCATTCTTCTTGAAATGGCCCTTCTCATCCAGGAAATGCTCAGGATAGAAGGCATCTGGGTAACGGAAATACTTGGGATCTTTGAGGGCTGAGCCAAGCAGGGGGAACACGTCTGTACCCTGGGAGAAAATGGGATTAATTAGGAGAATCTGTGTTGTGATGTGGGTGCAGCAAACCAGGACGAGGGAAAGGTACAGTGATTGGAGAAGGGATGGCAATGAAGATGTAGACGCACCTTGGGCAGAAGGTAGCCTCGAAATTCGGTATCTCGAATGACGTTGTGAGGGACACCCATGGGCACAATATCTGTTAGCCTCTGTATCTCGTGAATCACAGCATCCGTGTAGGGCATCTTGACCCGGTCCTCCACACTTGGGATCCGGTGTGGCCCAATCACTTGGTCAATCTCTTCATGGATCTTGGCTGGAAAATGTTAGAAAGCATCATAGGCAGGGACACAGAGACACGGGAGATTTAACAAGAGGCTAGAGTTTGGACATGGATTTGTATTTATCAACCATGGGACACTGAAGGAACCAACCATGTGTTTGTGGGCTGTCTCTTTATTTCTGACATATTGCTGGTCAGGAAACATCCATTCAACTGTTGGGAGACACACAGAATGGAACTTTGTCTGCTACGGCATTTGTTCTTTACTTGAAAGCCATGAAGTTGGGCTTTCATATACAGATTTTTGATGGGATAAAACCAGTTCCAGGGTTAACTAGGACAGAACTCAAACCAAATGATGTTCATCATGTGACAGTCACTATGAACATTTTTGGTATAGCTTTCACTTAGAACACTATTGGTGTATATTGGTAAGTCATTCTTACTAGGAGAGTGTTCTTGAAATGAAGAGCCTGTCCTCTGACTCTTCATCTTGAAATGAATGCGATGGTCTAACAAGCTCATGTACTGATAACGTTTACCAAAAATACAGTATGCAAGTAACCAGGACAATGCATAATAGAGAACGTGCACCCCCATGTTTGATTATTCATATTAATTCCAATAATGAAGGAGAGGTTAGACGAACTTGAGTGGAAACACAGATGAGTCTTGTCCATTTTCTGTAGTGGGAAAAGCCATTGACTTGTGGGAAACTACATAAGATGGAAGAGGAACCAAAATGGGAGACTTTACTGAATCGAGTAACAAACACTATTTATTCCTATAGCTTTATTATTAGAGCTGACCCACCAGACTAGACTGGCTTATTAAAGATGGGTGCTACTGGATTCAGCCACTAGAATTGGTGAGGTAATTGTCCGCAAAGATATCACTTCCTTAGTTTTGCTAAGTGACATAAACATGAAAGTGCAAGAAATGCTGACTGGATTCACTCATATGTGGAACATGAATAACTAAAGCAAAAAAATAAAACCAAATTTACTCTCAAAAATGGTAGTAGTTTCCCAAGAGGAAGAGAATGGGTTGGGAAGAATGAGGAATCTCTGGATGGTGAGATGAAAGTGGAAATTTTGTGATGGGAATGATAAGAATGAACACATACAAAAGCATGAAACTAAACCCCTGAAATTCCATAATATTATAATCAATGATAATTTAATACTAATAAAAACAAATCCTCTAAAGATATACCCAGCTCCTAGTCTCTGGAATTGTGAATGATTTCTTACATGACAAATATTGTAGATATAATTAAGAATCGTGAGATGGGAAACATCCAGTTGGCCCTAAATATAATCGCAGGCCTATGTTGAGAAATAGCAGAGTCAAAGTCAGAGGAGATGTAACAATGTGAACAAAAAGCTCTGTTGAAGGTGTTATGTGGCAGTGTTTGAAAAGTAATGAAAGGAAATACTAGTATAAGCTGGAAAAGGCCAGGAATCAGATTCTGCCCTATATCTGCATGATGAAGTGCAATTTTGGGAGCTGTTTAAGGGAATTGATGTAACCCACCTTCCACCTCTGGATGCTTCATCAGCAGTAGCATTCCATAGCGCAGTGTAGAACTCACAGTCTCCGTGCCAGCAAAGAAGAGGTTGAGAGTGGTGAGAACCAAGTTCTTGAGATTGAATTCTGTCTGGGGATTATTTTTGTCCTGAAAATGAAAAGCATAGAAACAGAATCACCCTCTTCTGTCCCCACCTTCTTAAACTCTCCTGTGTAAAGTTAAAATGAATGCAGAAACCAAGTGGATAGATGTCTGGGAGAGGGGTCATCTAGCAGAGTTTCTGAGACAAGTGTGTTAGAGAAACAGTAGGCGGAAGACCTGTGTATAGGACTGTAATGAACAGAGGGGAGAATAGGAAGCGAGGACACAGATTACTTTACAGGATATAAAAGTTCTAGATCATTAGGGTATATTATATTGCACTTTCAAGTAGACAGCTTCTATACTATAATTAATTCTAAAATTTAAAGAGCCTCTTCAAAAAAAGTATAAGCTTCTAAAGGTATACACCTCTAAGTCTGCACTTATAAACTCTAACTGTAAAGTTCCAGCTCTGAATTTGAAAGTCTTTAAATGTTCAAGCTCAAATGTAAAACTTTAATGACTACATTTCTGCAGTTATAAATCACTGGTATTTTTGATTCAAAGTCATAACACTTGTATTTCTATCATCCTCAAATGTTTAGAGCAGACTTAAAAAATAAACAACTTTATGATTTTACACATTCTAAATATTTTGTATAAATGAAGATGTAAATGAGCGAACCACATTTTGCTCTTCGTCTCTCAAATATTTATGGGTGAGTTAAAGTTTCAGGCACTTGAGGTTGAGGAGTTGGAGGAAAGGAGGGAGGAAGAGGAAGAAGTACCTGATGCATTTTGACGAGAAAGCAGTCAATGAAGTCTCGAGGGTTTTGCGGATCAAGGGATGCTTCATTGGTTTTGACTTTTTGGGCAATGAAATCCTTGAGATCCTCAATTAAGTAGTAAACACGATTATGTCTTCCTGGCAAATATTGCATGACTCCAGAATACATGTCATATAGCTGCAGGGAATAGGCAAAGGTGGAGAAGTGTTTGTTCACAATGGCCTTAGGGTCCACCATGGACCAAATGTGGAACTTAAGTCTTTACACTTAATTTCAGCATCTAAACCAGGCTAAGCAAATACTTTTGCTTTTGAGACTCAGGGCACCTACTTCCTGGGTTTGTGGGAAGAAATGAGAGAGATGGGTAGGCACACTCAATGCTAGTTAACTGAAGTTGGTGGGAGGGAAGGCTGGAAGGCACCTGTGCCCAGGACGTGCTCATCTCCATAAAACTCTCATTGATCATCTTCAGCAGCTTCAGGAACTGCTTGTCCTCATAGTCAAAGCGACTCCCAAAGACAACAGAACTGATGACATTGGAGACGGTGCGGCTTAGGAAGAAAGTGGGTTCGATGGGGTTACCTGGTGAAAAAAAATAGTCTATGTATAGAGGCAATTATCAGGATCCTGTCATGGAGGTGAGCCCTGGATCCACTGTCGAAGTCACATGTGAAGAATCTTATTCCTAATTATCAGCTGTTTTAGTAACTACCTCATTGGTTCATGAGGATTCCATATCACTATTCATGCTGAATGCTTAGCACACTTGACATGTAGAAAGAGCTCAAGAAGTGTGGTAGAGCTTAATCACTGTGATTACTATTTAATTGTGTGCTGGAAATTTATAGCTTTGGAAAAAAGGTGGTGATATAGGGCATTTTCTTTTTCTTTTAATTTTTCATTTTAAAGAATGACTGGATTCTGGGGTCTGAACTATAGTACAGTTGGTAGGATGTTTGCCTTGCACTCAGCTGGCCCGAAATTCGATCCCTGGTATCCTATATGGTCCTTTAAGCACCACCAGGAGTGATTCCTAAATTCAGAGCCAGGAATAATCCCTGAACATAGCCCGGTATGGCCCCCAACTCTCCCATGATAAAATATTAAAAATTGAGTGGAATAAAAAAATGAGTTGATTCTATGTCTCTCTTCTAATGATTCCATTTGAGCTATTAAAGAAATCTTTTCTTGACCTCAGTTACAACCGACATAAATAAGATGATGGCAGAGTCAGTGAATCTGGGGCAGTTTCCCTGTAATAATTTATGTGCTCACAAATATATACTTTTGCAAGGAATATAGTGACTCATGAACAGTGAAAGCTCCTCATGTACTGTTTGACATCCATGGACCCCTTGACAAAAATATCTAATATACAGAAATGTATCTCTCAGTCTCTTGTCCATTCATCTCTCTTTTTCTCTGCCTCTCAGCTGGATTCTTTTAAAAATTAGTAAAATAGATGTTTACATTTATAAGATGAAATAGTTCCACATATCCTTTCCCCAATAATCTGAACAAGGTCATTTTTACTGAATTGCATACTTAGAATTGGTTTAGGTTTTTATTTAACCACAATATGTGTGCAAGTATATAACAAAACTTTCTTTTGGCACCAGAAAAAGGTATGAATTTACGTACTGCTGAAGTTCGCATATGACATCAGGAGCTTATAAAACTGCCTTGTATCTTTTTAGGGGGGCGGGGAACACACCCAGTGGAGCTCAGGTGTTAGTCTTGGCTCTGCACTCAGGGATTCTCCCTGGTGTTTCTTAGGGGACCATATGGGATGCTGGGATCAAACCCAAGCTGGCTGCACACAAGACAAATAAATGTCTTACCCATTATAAGACCCTTCCCTGATATCTTTTGATTAAGGTTTCTATACAATTGGTCTCTGAGATTCTTTCACGTTAATTTGGAGCATGAAGTCTGATTAGACATCTTTATAAATATTTAAACTGTTCTGTCTTCTTCTATGGCAGAGTTTTTCTCCCAGCAAGGTTTCAGATTTTCAGGACTATTCTTGCAACACTGGAGCGACAGCACAGCGGTAGGACGTTTGCCTTACAAGCGGCCATCATGGCCCACCCGAGTTTGATTCCTCCGCCCCTCTCGGAGAGCCCAGCAAGCTATCGAGAGTATCTCCCCCGCAGGGCAGAGCCTGGCAAGCTACCTGTGGTGTATTCGCTATGCCAAACACAGTAACAACAAGTCTCATGATGGAGACATTACTGGGCCCGCAAATCGATGAACAACGGGAGGACCGTGATGACCGATGATGACCGTGATGATTCTTGCAACAGCTTCACATCACCTTGGAACCCTACCCCAACTGTTCCCGCATACCTTTAGTCTTTCGGAATTCCTCTAATAAGAAGCCAGCCTCTTCTTGGATCCTCTCCTCAATGCTTCTCTTTCCCATTCCGAAGTCCCGAAGAATTGTCAGTGAGAAACGTCGGAGAATCCTCCATCGTTCTCCGTTAGCCAAAGCAACACCTGCAAGAATCTCTTGGTCAAGCTCCTACCTCTCCACCCCTTCTTGTGTCCGACTCAGTGCTTGACAGGATGGTGCCTGATTATGATACTGTGCATGCAAAATTCAGAAAAATTCCCAACCTTAATGCCCACTAGTCCAGCCTTTATGGAAAACAATATGGACAGTCCTTCAAAAAGTAGAAATCGAGCTTTCATATGACCCTGCAATACCACTTCTGGGAATATATCCTGAGGATGTAAAAAAGCACAGTAGAAATGACATCTGTACCTATATGTTCATTGCAGCACTGTTCACAATGGCTAAAATCTGGAAACAACCCAAGTGCCCTAGAACAGATGACTGGTTAAAGAAACTTTGGTACATCTACACAATGGAATACTATGCAGCTGTCAGGAGAGATGAAGTCATGAACTTTGCTTATAAATGGATAGACATGGAGAGTATCATGCTAAGTGAAATGAGTCAGAAAGAGAGGGACAGGCATAGAAGGACTGCATTCATTTGTGGAGTATAAAACAACATAACATGAGGCTGACACCTAAGGACACTAGATACATGGGATAGATAGATTTCTCCATAGCTGGAAGCCTGCTTCATAAGCAAAGGGGAGAAGGCAGCTGGAATAGAGAAGGGATCACTAAGAAAAAGATGGCTGGAGGAATCGGTTGGGATGGGAGATGTGTGCAGAAAGTAGATAAAGGACCAAACATGATAACCTCTCAGTGTATTTATTTCAAACCATAATGCCCAAAAGTAGAGAGAGAGATTATGGGGAATCATATCTGCCATGGAGGCAGAGGGAGGGTTGGAAAGGGGGGGTATACCGGGGATATTAGTGGTGGGGAATGTGCACTGGTGGAGGGATGGGTGTTTAATCATTGTGAGATTGTAATCCAAACGTGGAAGCTTGTAACTATCTCACGGTGATTTAATAAAATTAATTAAAAAAAAGAAAAAAGAAAAATTCCCAACCCTTAGTTTAGATGGAGAGACTAAGGTTCTTGCCCTACAGAATCCTCACACTACAGTACAGGACTCAACTGAAAGAAAGAAAATCAGGTTAGAAATGGTTGGTAGAGGTTAAAATTTTTTTCTCTTCCTTCCTTCCTTCCTTCCTTCCTTCCTTCCTTCCTTCCTTCCTTCCTTCCCATTTATTTTTTCATTGAATCACTGTGAGGTATACAGTTACAAGTTTGTTTGTTATTGAGTTTCAGTCATACAATGTTCCAACACCATTCCCTGCTCCAGTGCACATTTCCTGCCATTAATGTCTCCAGTTTCCCTTCCTCTTACCTCCCTATGCACCCCAGCCTGTCTCTATGGCAGACTTCCCCCACTTCTCTCTCTCTCTCTCTCTCTCTCTCTCTCTCTCTCTCTCTCTCTCTCTCTCTCTCTCTTTCATTGTGATTTTCCTTTTAGGCACTGTGCCTTACAATACTGTTACTGAAAGTTTATCAAATGTATCACTTTACCTCCTTTCAATACTCAGTTATTTTCCCAGAGTGATCATTTCCAACTATCATTGTATAGTTGTTCCTTCTATGTTCTAACTGTAATCCTCCTCCCCCTTGGTGACAATCTTCCTACCATGGGCCAATACTCCTGGCCCTTGAAGAAAAATTTCTTGCTGGATTGATCCCTGAAAATGGGTAAATAGATGAAAGTATAGAAATGTTGAGGTAGGTAAACATACAAAACATATAGACTTCCCCCAAACAGGGAGGTTACTTTTATTTTCTGTATAAAAGTTGGTTCTCCAAATATACCCAAATTTATACACAGTCACTCAGACCTGTATACCAATGTATCTCTACAAAGAGAGTTACCATGTAGTAGAAACACATTGAAATAATCATATGTGCATTACTGTTATTACTAATTTAAAAATTAGTGATAGAACATGTAATTCTTTTGGTGGTTTGGTGAATGGAAGGAAGAGTTTACTACTAGGATAAGTGATAATTTTAATGTATGAAAGAAATCATGTCTGGGTGAAGGATGGTTTGAGGTAAATGGTTTGAGGATGGTTTGAGGATTGTTTGAGGTAGATGGATAGATGGTTGAAAAGATGGATGGATGAGAGATTAGAAATATATGAATGGGGAAAGGAGAGGGTGTATAAGGGGTAAGGCACTTGCCTTGTATTCAGCAGACCCCAGATTCTCCCTTGGCTCAACATATTATTCCCCAAGCACCACCAGGAATGATCCCTGAGCACAGAGCCAGGAGTAAGCTCTGAGTTCAGTTGGATGTGGGCTGAACCACTCTTCCAATAATAATAATGGATGAACAATGGAAGACTTATGAATTGATGAGTAAAATAATAGGTAGATAAGAAAATGAGAAATTAATTGATAGATACACAGATAAGTTAGATGGGGAAATAGACCGATGGAAATGTGACTAAATAAGAGGAAAGGTAGAAGGATAGATGGATAGGCAGAAATAGGGAATGGGTGGTGTTAAGTTGCTTGGAATTGAGTTTGTGAGCTATTTAGATGGTTATATAAGTAATGCTAGGAATGTATCTGCCTAAAATGAGGAGACCGTCAGCTATGAGTAGAATATATAAGTATAAGACAATAAGAAGTCTAATTATTTTAGTGGGCACACAAAATATGAAACTAATTCATCCAAATATACAAAATAATACTACAAAAGTACAACCGAGTTATATGGTTTAGATTAAAAGTAAACTTGTGGTATCACCAAGTTTTTCTCATGCCCAGCTTCCACATTAGAAAAATTAATAAGATATTAAAAGTTTCCTCAGAGGAGTCAATGTGGGTCATGCAGGGAGAGTACTTATCAGAGAACCTGGGGCACACTTGATAATCGTTTTGTTTTCAATGTTGCTGCTGTTACCTACCATAACCTTGGAAGTTTCGCTCTATTGAAGCCAGTTCTCCACGGCCACTGAAGTCATCTGCCTTGTCTACAAGGGCCTCTTTCACTGCTTCATGACCACATAAAACAACTACTGGTCGGGGTCCCATGTATACGGTGAAGACTGAGCCATATTTCTCCCTGAGCTAAGAAAGAAGGAAGATACAAGAATAGGGGCTTACAATTTAATCAGCTTAATCAATGGCTGAATGAATAGCAATGAATACGCAGGGGTTACTCCTGGCTCATGCACTCAGGAATTACTCCTGGCAGTGCTCGGGGAAACATATGGGATACTGGTAATCGAACCCGGGTTGGCCACGTGCAAGGTGAATGCCCTACCCACTGTGCTATTGCTCCATCCCAAGGGGTTGATTTCAATGTGATACAAATGTGAAAATAACAGATAAAGCTGATTCCTGTGCTGGTAATGGCTATTCAGGAAAAGGCACAGCACCCTGACTCCTGTGATCCTGGGAAAGAATCTCTAGCACTGATTTCAAGTCCTCATTTAACTATATGGAGAATGATGGACCTGGATGAGATGAATCCAGAACGCATGTTTCTCTCAGAAATACTACATTTCTTATTTAATAAAATGGAGTCTCACACTTCTACAATAACCAGATGTGTTTGAAGATAACAAGATCTGCTGGAGGAGAGATGGTAGATGGGTTTTGGAATTTGCCTTGTATGAGGCTGACTCTGAATAAATCCCTGGCACCACATCTGGTTCCCTGAGAATTATCTCCATGAGCACAGAGCCAGAAGTAAGTCTGAACACTTTCAGTCCATGTCTCCCTCTCCCCTTTCCCAACCCCCTCCAAAAAAACCCCTAAATGTATTGTGATTTCAAAGTACTTAGATGATGGGAATCTGAAGTTCCAATGTATAATTCCATCAAGTTTCCAAGAGGTCAAGATTCTGGAATCTCAGAATTCTTAGCATACAAAGCCTTTGTTTCACATGCATTTGCCTATAGTATGATTTCTTCTAACTATGAAAGAAGCAGGAGGACTCACCTTCATGAAAGATTGATAGGTGGCTTCAGTACTGACTTGCAGAATGTTTCCCAGAAAGGGTATTGGTGTAGGGCCAGGGGGCAGCTTCCCACCCTTGCTGGTCCTCTTCCAGGCAATGAGGATAAACAGGCAAGACAAGCAGAGTGCCAGAAAGATGGTGAAGGCCCCTCCCAACTCCATGGTTGCAGGTAGCAGGGTTGTGTCCAAGGTTCCAGATTCTGCCTAAATACACTCTGGGAAATCAGGTGTGTGGAAATTGAACACCCTGGGATTTTAATTTTCCAGGTGTGGATGTCATCGGGAATTAACTGCTTAATGGGGGTGGGGGGCGGGAGATGGGTTTGATTATATAACATATAATCTCTTACATGAATAAAGGTAGATTTAACTTACCTAATGAAATCCATGAGGCCATTTCCCCTTCTTCATATTTCCAGCCTCATGGTTCTTCTCCCTAAGTTCCATCCCTTACCCAACATATCTTAGTAGGGTGTGTAAGGAATGTGAGTTCACAAAGTGTAGGGGTTCATGACACTATGTCTCCCTGTTCTCCCCAGATCTCCCCAGCAGAGGAACAAAGAGATGGGGAACTCACCAATAAATGGTCAAAATTTCTCATTTAATGCAGAGCTGCTAGCATATTTATAGAGCATCTGAAGGAGTTTGAGGTATAGGACTGCACGTAGGTTGTGATTAGTCATTTACAGAGGTGAAAAAAGGGCAAGACTGCTGGGCTTCTACAGTAAATCCCAAACTAGATCTTCAGGCTGGTTCAGCTTGTACTTCCTCATGGGGGTCTTGTCTCTTAAGACATAACAGCTTTCATGAAGACCAGTCTTTTATGCTTTTTATACTGTTCATGATCGGGTTTCAGTCATACAATGATCCAACACTCCTCCCTCCACCGGTGTCCATTTCCCACCACCAGTGACCCCAGTTTCCTTCCTGCAACCTCCCCACCTCCTGTCTGCCTCTATGTCTCCATAGTGAGTACCTCTCTCTCTCTCTCTCTCTCTCTCTCTCTCTCTCTCTCTCTCTCTCTCTCTCTCTCCCTCCCTCCCTCCCTGCCCCAGTGAAAGGCTTTTTATTCAAGTTCGGGTGGTTATGACCTGGCCCTAAAAATCCCTAAGCACAACTCTTGGACAGGATCTGTGCCTGTTTCTCTTTTGAAAATATTCATCTTCATCTTTGGTGGCCTGGGAGACTTCTGTGCTTTAGGCATGCAGCAATCATCGAATAGGTACTGTTAAAATGAAAAGTGATACTGCTTGGAGTAGAAAAAGATGGAAAAAGAAAGTATATTTACCTTTTTCACCATGCATACCTGGAGCAATATGTTGGATTGTGTTTTTGCTGTAATACAAGAGAGGATACTTTTTTTGTTTTTTCTAATGTAGGAGTACTGCTATGTATTCAGCCATTGATTAAGCTGATTGAATTGGGCATGAACTCCACATTAATTTTTTTTATTCAGAATGCTAATTTTATTTTATTATTATTATTTTTAATCACTGTGAGATATAGTTACAAAACTTTTCTGTTTGAATTTCAGCCATACAATGAGCGATGACCCAACCCTCCACCAGTGCACATCTTTCTCCACCAAGGTCCCTAGTATTCCCCCCCCCCCAACTCAGCCATCCCCCTGCCTCTAAGGCAGACAATCTCCCCCATACTCTCTTTTATATTGCTTGTTAGGAATAGCGTAAGATGTCATGTGCTCCTGAAATTCTAAAATTTTAGATAATTAGAATCTGGAGAAATCTCTGCAGTGAGCTGCTAGGTTCAGAGAGTCTTTTGTGTGTCTCTGGATCATGGCCATTAAGGAGCTCAAGTAGCATTCAGAAGCAGTTTGTGGGCATGACTTCCAGGGTCCTATGGGGAAGGGGCGGGGGAGAATGAGAGGTACCAGTCCATAACCTATCCCTTGAGGTCTGGAGTTTGCCGTCACTGGACCAGCATATCTGCAATTCTCACTGGGTTCTGGAAGCTGGAGGTGCTGGGGTTTTTAGGGGACAGAAGGGGAGAATACTTTTCTGAGCAGAAAAAACAAGTGGGGGCGGGAGATAGCCATGAAGTGTCTAAAAGAGATCTATTTGTGAATGATGTTGGATGGGATGGCTTTAGGATAGTTAAATAGTTTTCCAAAGCTAACATTTTTATATGATTCGATGGTTCCTGTCTTCATATTTGAGAACCCCAGAATTCTGCGATTCTTAAATTTTTCTGTTATCTGCAGATTGCACCATTCCAGAGAAGGATATCTGTTTTGGCAAAGTGCAGAGCTGTGGCAAGAGGGAAGGGTGCTCTTTGGATTTCCTTGGATGTTTACACTGGGCGTTGGAAAGTGCAGCCGGAGCATAGCTATTGCTCACTGTCCCTGTCTCTGGATAAGACAAATTTGTAGACAATGCCAAAGTCTAGAGGAATGAACTCAGAAGTTATTCTTTAAAAATTTGTTTTTTATATAAATCACTGTATCACTATCATCCCATTGATCTTCGATTTACTCAAGCAGACACCAGTAATGTCTCTATTCCTCAACCCTGAGATTTTAGCAGCCTCTTCTTACTCGTCTTTTCCCAATGATTGGAGGTTTTTTCAGGCTCTTGCTGGGCTCTCCAAGAGGCAGTTTTTTATAAATGGAATAATGAATTTATAAATTAATTCATGATTGAGCTTTAGGCATATGATATTCCAACCTCAATCCCTTCACCAGTGACCACCTCTCTCCACCAATATCCCCACTTTCCCTCCTGCCTCCCAACTTGCCTCTATAGCAGGCACTCCACTCCCTTCCTCCTCTTTAGGCACTGTGGACTATCCTGTTACTGATAGGGTATCATGCATGCCACTTTACCTCCTTTCAGCATCCAATCCTGGTACAGAGTGATTACTTCCCTCTGTCATTGTCCCATTGGTCTCTCTCCAGACCTATCCCACCCCTTTCATGCCCCAGCGGCAATATTCCTTCTCAAGGACCACTTCTCCTGCTCTTTTCTTTTCAAATGGGGGCCACACCCAGTGATGTTCATGGGTGATTCCTGGATCTGCATTTGGAAATAACTCCTAGTGATGATCAGGACCATATGGGATACTAGGGATCAAATCCCGGTTGAATGCATACAAGCAAGCTCCCTTCCTGCTGTACAGTTCTGCTCCGGCCCACAGTTCTTCTATTGTTGAGGTTATTCTTCATTGGGGAGTGGGAATAATGATGAACAGGGCTTCTGAATTTCTTATCTCCTGCTAAGAAAAATAATCCAAAGCATGAAGATTAAGAAAAAATAATCCAAGAACATTTGAAATCTGGCATGGCATATTTCCACATGGCATATTAGGGAACCTGATAACTTTGATTTTTGAATCAAATTCTTGAATCTGATGATGTTGTTCCTGAAAAAAATGAAAAGAACATTTGTATCTGAAGTGGAAACTACCAATTGCCTCCTAAAATTTCCCTGTTCCTTTCCCCTAATAACAGAAATCCAGTTTGTAGACAGGCACACAGCTGTCAGAGTTAGCCTGACATTTCCCTGCCACACCTACGGTCAGGTTTGGCAGCACAGATGGATTCTGGTCAATGAGCAAAATTGTCAAGTAGGTATTTGGAAATGCCAGATACCTACTTGGTATTTTCATTAGTAAGGGTGATTCTCTTTTTTTTTTATATCTCCTCCCTTTATAGTATCTGGAATGTGGTCTCAATTCGTGGAGCTCCAGCAACTATTTTGCACCATGTGATCTTAGGAATGGAAAGCATATTCATACTAGAACAAGATAGAAGAGTCAGATGTTTTGGAGTACCACATTAACCCTACACAGATAATCTTTAAATGTCTTCAATTTATAAAAAAGCTGAATACTATTATTTAAGCCTCATTTTTTCCTTTTCTGGTTATTTGGAGATGAACACGCTTTCCACCACACTCAAATATACATGTGTAATGAGTACAAAAGAATAGATTTTCCTATGAGAAACCACAGATAATCTACCTGAAAAGTTAAAAAAGGGGATGACCAAAACCTCCACCAAGAAGTTCCTAGAGATAATAGACTTGTACAGTAAAGTCGCAGGCTATAAAATTAATACCCAAAAATCTATGGCAAATAATGAGACAGAGGAAAGTGACATGAAAAAAATAATAATCATGAAAAATCATGATTAAAATAATAATCATGAAAGTGACATGAAAAAAATAATAACCCGTTCATAATCATGCCCCAGAAAATCAAGTACCTCAAAATCAACTTAACTAAGGAGGTAAAGGACCTATACAAAGAAAACTACAAAACCTGCTTCACGAAATAAAAGAGGACACAGGAAATGGAAACATATCCCCTGCTCATGGATTGGGAGAATTAACATTGTCAAAATGGCCATACCACTCCAAAACATTATATAGATTCAATGTGATCCTATAAGAATACCCATGAGATTCTTAAAGAAATGGATCAAACACTCCTGAAGTTCATATGGAACAACAAACTCCCACAAATAGCTAAAGCAATTCTTGGGAAAAAGAAGACGGGAGGCATCACCTTCCCCAACCTCAAACTCTACTACAAAGCGGTTATAATTAAAACAGAATGGTACTGGAACAAAGGCAGAGCCACAGACAAATGGAACAGGGTTGAATATCCTTACACACATCCTCAAATACATTATCATCTAATCTTTGATAAGGGAGCAAGAAATGTGAAGTGAAGCAAGGAAAGCCTCTTTAACAAATGGTGCTGGCAAAACTGGACAGCTACATACAAAAAAAATGGGCTTTAGACCTCTACCTATCACCATGAACAAAAGTCAAACCAAAATGGATTAAAGACCTGAACATCAGACTGGAATCCATAAGATTCACTGAAGACAAGGTCGGCAAAACCCTCTATGACATTGAAGTTAAAGGAATCTTCAAGGATGACATGCCTCTGACCAGCCAAGTGGAAACAGAGATAAACAAATGGGACTATCTTAAACTAAGAAGTTTCTGCACCTCAAAAGATACAGCGACCAGAATACAAAGATAACCTACAGAATGGGAAAGGATATTCGCCCAATACCCATCTGATAAGGGATTGATATCAAGGATATACAAGGCACTCGTTGAACTCTACAATAAGAAAACATCCAACCCCGTCAGGAAATGGGGTGATGAAATGAACAGAAACTTTCTCAAAGA